TACATATTTGTAAGAAAGTTTAAAGCTGTTTTTTTTGTGAGAATTTCAGCAGAAAGCCCGGCAGAAACTTTTTTCAAGAGTTTTCCCACTTCACCTAGAGCTTTCCAACTTCAAAAGTTTTCCTACTTCGCCTAGTAAAAATGCAGATGCTTTGTACACTAAAAACTGGGGTTCGAGTCCCGGATGGATGGACAATGTTTTTTTTTCGGACTTTCGTTTGTGTATGGGAAAAAAAAGATTTTTCGGACTTTCGTTTGTCCGCTTAGGCTTTGTCGGTTTAGTTGCCACATTGGGAAATTTTCGAGCGCTGTCAGCATTTTTTTCTGTAGATGGCTTACTCTGGTCATTTGTAAACTAAAATCCACAATTGTTTTTATCCTTAGAGTTGCTTTTTCTTTTTTTCGCGTTCTTCGGCCAAAATGTTTTTTTTTTGGCCTTGAACAGTCTAATATGAGTCTAAAACCAGAAACCTGCAAAACATCGTTTTTAACGCCAGAAGTCCGGTTGGCACAAATAGAAGAATGATTTTCGCTATCACTGTTGTTTGCCCCAGTGATATTCGCTATGACTGGGGTGAGCCTCAGGGTGCAGCAAATAAAAATCCTCTCCCCATCAAATTTTTACTATCAACCGATAGTCAATCACTTCAATCCAACTATCTTCGACATTCATTGACCTGTGAACGTAAATCTTTTGAGATGAAGCTGTGTTACCTTTAAAAAACTAGAGAGGGTTTGTTTTCTTGATGTGTTTTTAAGGAGAAACTTAAATCCACTGCCAAATGCACCTTGATCAACTAAAAGAAATTAAATTTAAAAGGAGTCCTTCCGTTTAGGCACGGTCGTGCACACGCTGGATAGGGCCCATACCAGCATTATAAAAACACATCAATCAACAATAATGCGGGAATTAAGTCAAGTCAGCATTTATTGCCTTGTCATTAAAAGTATTTACTTCAACCGTCCCTCCTCTACAATAGCACTAATTGAATTGTCTATGAATTGCGTCTTACGCAGTGATCTACACCCTCGTATACAATGGGCAGCGCCCCTGAGCAGCTCGAAGCTTGTCTTAGTTCTTATATAGTTTACTGTTTCTGAGTAGCTTTCATGCCTTTTTTCACTAAGTTTTTCAGCTATGCGCTGCATTGTCCGAGTAGCTGCTGGTGCAGCACCACCAGTGCAGCCAAAACCAAAATTGAGTGGGCAAAAGTTGCTCTGTTCGACTTGCAGAACTATCTGTTGGTATTTTGAGTTTTTTAGTAATTCGTGGTATTTATAGGCGTCATCCAGTAGTCATCGTGAAGTTTTTGCTTGCGGGTTGAAGACTATGACATCAAAGAAGGTTCGGCTAAACCATAAGCCCCATAATCCGTTTGCTGTTACATCTAGTCGAGCGTCTTCATCAGTTATGGTTGAAATGTTGACAAAGCTCTCGCCTTGCACGCCTGAAGTATCGGCTCGATTGCAACATCAAAGCAAACCTCGCTCATGATGTTGGCAAAGATAAATCTGATTTCGTTATGCCTCAGGTGGGTGTATCCAACCTTTGCGCAGTGAAGAGCGTGGGTAAGGTCAAAAGATTGACAACATGCACATGTGAGTGGAATGTTGATTGGTTCCCATCCATATCTGAGATAAATTCCATCCCGAAATTCTGATTCATTCAGATTAAAATTTTATCTGCTAAATGGCAGTGCATTTAACCAATTTGAGAGTCTTTTTGTGGAGGCCAGCTCAAGTGCGTAATTTTCTTTGTCACTCAACTTGTTCAAAATGTTAGTTCTCATTTGGTTTGTTCTTGCCGTTTTAAGTGTTTCAATTTTTGTATAGATTTTTTCAGGCTCAGATATAGCTGTTAATAGTTCGTATGTCTCTAGGACTGACGATGTTTTAAATGACCATTCTAGAAAATTGTCATAGTCAGAAAGTATCTTGATATTTAAATCACCCATTTTCAGTGGCAAAGATGTGATATCTCTAAGTTGATGGCTGATATTATCTTTACCAATTAAATTTGGAATAAGATTTTCCTGCAGTATCTTCTCGCAGGCGTGCATGTTTTCTGTGGTAATGGGGGTAATTCTAGCTAAAAACGATAGTTTTTCTTGTACCCATTTGGTCTAACAGGAGTACAGGTTTTGTGGTGATGTTTTCTCGATCTTGCCATTTTTTTCAGTATTTTATTATGTTCTTCTAAATAAATTTCTAGGAAAGTTTTACCTTCAGTTTCGGATCTTATGACAGAACCAAGTACTCTGGCACCATTCTTCTAACAGTCGCCTACTTAAGTCGCATATGAGGCTAAGAAAAATAGGCCCTGTAACCATTGGCTCAAGGTGCAGGGACACTATCTCTTGTGTTTTTGTACCTCATTCAGTCGGAGCCAATGCGGTTCACTTGCGACGTGAGACTACAAACCGTGTTACAGCATAAAGGCTACTATCAAAATATCACTCTAGAAATATAACGCCTCCATGGTCAGTCCTCTAAATACCTAAAAACGCGAACGCCATTTAAAACAGGGTTGGAAGCTTGGGTATACCGTTAGTTTTTACTAGACAAGGGAACTTTGATCCATTTCAGATGGATCTACCTAAAACTTGCATTATCTCAACATAATCAACATAATCACTTAAAATGCACTCAAAAAATTTAAAATAGGTACTCACATAGTGACGCGAATCTAGAATTAGGTAAATAACAGCAATAAAGCAACTCTAGATTAAGTTTGAAGTAATTAAGCTTTGCTCAAGAAGTTTTATGCCCTGGACAATTGGGCAGGTTCGGCTGTCCACCTTCCCAGTTAGGTCTCACTCCCGTCCAATCAGTCGCACTTGTTTTTTTTTAGTCTCGATCCTCTCGATCAGGAACAGGAAAATTCTACAAATACTGAAGATCCCGGTAAATTACGAATAGCAATTTTACTCTCGTGATTTTTGTCGACTTTCCCGCAATTATAACTCGAATCTTCTGATCTAACTTAATTTTTATTTTCAGTTGTCGCGAGAAATTTGAGCATTACAGGGTCAATTCGAATTTTTTAAGAAAAAAAAATTTACCCCAAAACAAGGCCAAACTTCCAGATATGACCGACTGGCACATACTCCCCGGACTCAAGACCAATGTCCTAATCGCGCGTCGTCGTCATGTCAATGAGCCTCAAGAATGTTGAGTGCGTCTCAAGATACATTGCCATTCGTCATTTACAGAAGTTTGCAGCAGACTCAACTTTATCTACGTCCCCAAAATTCACAGCCATGCGAAATTGTCATTTTATAGCTAAACAGAAATCAACATCTGCATCCTCCTACATCCTGATTTTTACAAGCTTTTTCTTTAAAGATTTTTTTGTGTAACCCAGTTAAAAAATTTTCATGCAGCATTTTGATTTATATAAATAGATAAAGTATATTAGTAAGAATACTTCGTATGTTAAATCTTCTTTTCCGTGCCTTAAGATCTTATCTGAGTTCACACTCAAGAACCCATTACTTTCCACTCAAGACTCAAGAACTGATCCCTGAGCATCCTGCTCAACCCACGCCCCCCGTCTTTGCAGTACTGGGCCTAGACGCACTCCACACAGTGATCTGCCTCGTTATTTCCTCCTCATCATCGGAACTGATCACGATTTACTCCCATGTATTCAGTTGCTCATAGGATCGCATCCATTTTTTTCTATTGCAATCTTCTCGTTTGATTTGGTACGCTCTTCCCTTTGGACTCTCTGTTCAAGCAAAAAGAGTTATGCAAGCTCAAGCTCACATTCGATGCCAGGTCCTCTTCCAGTTTTGATTCCCTCACCTTGGTATTATCTCTAGACACCGTGCCAACCCTTTTCCAGCCCGTGGTTATCCCGTTACGATGGGAGAGTAGGGGTCTCTTGAAGGCTTCTGGCCCTATCTCGGCCAGGAATCGACTGTACTCCTTCTGGTGTTTCTTCATGTGATTCGCCCGAAACCATCAAAAGAATCGTATGAGACTCCTAACGTGCCTCATTTCCATAGGTACAGCGAATACTTTACACGCTATCTCAATCGATCCAAGCCTCTTGCTATAGTCAATGGCATGTATCGTCTCCACTGTTGGTGCCTTCCTTTGATTCCCGATATTTCGTTATATTCTCCTCAATCCATCGTAGTGCCAACATCGAGCTCACCAAGAAGAGAGTGGCCTTCTGTTGGTGATCAGACAGTCCAATCGACCGAATTTCGTCGACATCCCATATCAAGCATAGGTTTGACTGCTTTCTCCGTGTGTCAAGTTGATGTTTTGGAGTTTACGTTCTCCCGAACCCAGAAGCCTCGAGCAAATGTTCAAACTCCTTCATTTTTGCAGTTGTCACATCATTCTTGTCCAAACTTTTGTGTTGCTTGTCGCCTGCCCGATCGCGCTTTGCCTCTCGAAGTTACTAGTATTTTCCGTTTCCAAACTCAAGAGTTCCTCTCCCCAGATCTCACACAAGTCCTCTCTTCGATCCCCTGGCACAACTCCCGGCATATTCCGAAACAACCGATGCGAGTGATGTGACATTCGCGCCAGTGCACGCAATTGGGCACCGAGAAAGCCTTATCAATCAGCACCCTCTGACTAGATGCTTCCACCATCGCCATGTGTAGCGGATAATGACTTCCGCACAAGTTTGCCATGACTGATCTCACCAGAGACTTCGCATTCATTGGCAGGCTGTAGGCCTCGCTCACGGGAAAACCCCTCTGCCTCAAGATTGACCTTTCATACCCTGATATGCTTCTGGATCATTTGTAGCGCTCCAGGCCAGGACTCCTTACTCAACGCTGTCACCATATGATGTTCTGATTATAGCATCTCCAGTGACTCCAGACTAGACATTCTCGAGAAAAATTCCAATGCCGTCGCAAAATTCACCGTGGTGCTCGCGTAACAATCAGCCATTATTTGCATCTCACTTTTCTCCTTCTCAGTAATATCATCAATCCAAATGGACAGATCCTTCCTTTGAAAGGACTGTATGCTGACGCAAGACAGCCTGTCACAAGAATGCTCTCCACCCCCACAGAGACAACTGCTAGATTAAGACAACTGCCTGGCTCTATCATCTTAGAAGACTCGTTCGACTTGCTCATATCTTCTTCAGATTCTTCTCGATGAGGCAGGCTCAGTTTGTGTATCACGTATAGGTTTCCCAGATTCTCATCCTTCCCTGGTGATAGTCTCACTCGCTCTGTGACGTCTTCGTTCAAGACTGCCTGAGGATGTGGACACCAAGATGACCTCCGCAACCTCCAAACAGTTCACAAGCTCGTAGACAAAATGTCGTCTTCGCCTCCCAGCCTCCGCTCTACCTTCCTCTCAGAACTCGAGATCCATTCCTTGCCGATGTCCACTTACCACATTTGTCCACTGGTGAAGCCTCTCTTCGCATTCACCTTTTGGGGTTTGGAGTCTTCCTCCGATCCCGGAATTCTTGCGGTTTCCAGCTCGATCAGTACCTCAGCCAACTTTCGGTCACTGAATTGCTCTTGTAGGCTGTCGTTTTCCATCTAGCTAGAACCATTGTAGCCGTCTCCTTCAAATTTTTCTCTGAAACAGCCTCCGCCGAGGGACTCGCTTCTTCTAACTCCCGCTTCCTTTTCCTCGACCTCACATTTTGACTCGGGGACTATGATAGTCTTATGAATATTAATACCTTTAATTATAAAATTAGGTTCAATTTTATCATAAATTTTGGTCTTAACTTTTTTAGTCTTAATTTTTCCACTCAGAGTAGAGCTGTCTTTGCATGATTTAGACTCGGCGCTCGGCTTCGTTTCCCGGAAGCGAATCATCTTGCCAAGCATCTCCTCTCTCGCATTCTCGTCCAGTCCAGTGGTCATCAAGACAGGTTCTCCACATCCTACTACAGTGTCCCACAATTCCTCTTTAAATTCATCCACTTAAACTCACTCAAGAAATCCTGCCAACCTTTTTGATCCAGCGTATTCAAGAAGATCCACTTATTTCCTCCGAAGGTTTTCTTTTCCCTGGCTTCATCCTTCAAGGGTAATATGCCCATGTTCGAGGGCTCGCCAGTGGCAACTCTAGATTCTTCCGGGGGCATCCCAAGGATAGTGTGGCCGTGTCCGCCCAATCATCACCGCTCAAGTCTTGCATCAGCTGATGCGTGGTATTGGGACTAAAATTCCTGGGCACCACCTCTTTGTTGGGCGTAGCCCCTAACTCCATCTCTTCTTTAGCATCGTTGAGGGTTTTGTACATCATCTCTCCCACTCCGGATTCAGGTTGGTCCCTCTCCAGTGTTTCCTTGAATCTGCTCTCCACCGGATGGCTCCTCTTGTCTCAAGGAGTGTCGACTGAGGTGAAGGCGTCGTCGGATCCCTTTGCTTTATACTCCATTAAGGATACGTAAAGAGCTCCCGCTGCGTCCAGCTTCCGTCCATCATGCTGCAACTCCATTGCCTCTAGTCCATAAGGCGCTAGGTGTCTCCTCGTACTGAACTTCATTCCGTCCAACAGAGCTAGATGGTCATCTTCCATGATCATTCTCCCGCTATCGTATATTGGCTCTTTGTTTTCCAATCCAGATCCCTTGCTTTATACTCCACTAAGGATACGCAAAGAGCTCCCACTGCGTCCAGCTTCCGTCCATTATGCTGCAAATCCATTGCGTCTAGTCCATAAGGCGCTAGGTGTCCCCTCGTACTGAACTTCATTTCGTCCTTCAGAGCTAGATGACCATCTTCCATGATCATTCTCCCGCTATCGTATGTTGGCTCTTTGTTTTCGCATTTTTTTGGCTTGAGTGGTCCATAATTTTATATTGATTTCACACGTGTGGAAGTACACTGCCAGCAAATATCCGATGAACAAAGGATCCCAGCATTGCGTGAATGCCTTCTGCTGCTTCTCCATAAGGTCTCTAGCGTGTATCGATGAGACCATCATTGTCAGTCGCCTCACCGTCGGGAATTCCGGGATGGTGACAGGCAACACGTCCCGTTCAAGAATAGTCTCAAGTTCTCTCTTCATAGTATCAAAACTCTTCTACCACGCCGGAATTCTCAAGACTTCTCTACCGTTCTTCGCCAAAGGATTCAGATTCCAGAATTTTGGGTAGGCTTTGATAGGACCCACTAGTTCAACCCCCCCCCCCATTCTGCACTGCAGTTGACCTCTGAAGTTGAGCACTATCAACTCTGGATCCTTCATTTTTCCGAATAGCATCGTTTAACTCATCTGTATTTTATCTTTTATACCAATTCAGCGCCGTCCCATCCAAGATGTTGATCAAGCTCACGTAAGCGACGGAATGTCGGTATGCGGTCACGAGTGGACCCGGGAAGGCATATGTCACGGCGGGTCCGCAGATGCAAGTCACTACCTCCCCAGCCCCCTGGTTATTCCTAGGGGATCAGATCGCATTGCCACGCACAGATCGGTCAGAAGAGGCATGCCTCCTTTCACCTCTCTCATCTCTTCTCAAGTCTTCGAGTTCTTCTCTTCTCTTGTCGATTCAAGAGATACTCCACCAGTACGGTTTTTAGCTCAACAAAACACTTGTAGAAATGAGTCTCGGGTGGGATTTTCTCACTGGGAGGGGGGCCACATATTTCATCAGTCGATGGAATCCCGCCAGGTTCCCATGCGTCAAGAGTATTAGTGTCAAATATCCGTCAATTCTAAGGGTTTCCACGCCTCTGCTAAACATCTACGTGGGACCCATGTTAAACATGTAGCTGGGATACACCAGATACAAAGTCAGCTGCAAGTTAATCGACGTGCTCAACAGATCTTGCACAAACGCTTCAAAAATAGTTTTTGCCGCGTGAAATACGTGGTCCATGTACTTCTTCTTCCATCGTGGACTCAAGAATCTCAAGATTTCGTATGTCTTTCTGGTCTTCAATTCACCCTTCACTCTCTCCAGAAGCTGGCGATGGTGACCTCGTTTGCTGACATAACGAACGTCCCTACCGTCTTTTCCCTCTTCTCGGAGATCTCAAGTTGATCCTCCAGAAACTCCCATATTTGCTTGATCAGGGGAGGCGAGCTTTGCCTCGTTTTGTCCGTCCGACTCACCATCGACTCCAACTGCTTCTTTGCTCCCGCCACGTCCTTCCGATCGTTAGTAGGTACTTTCGTGTTGCTAGTGGAACCCGTTCTCGCGCGTCGTCGACATGTCAGTGAGCCTCCAGAATGATGATTGCGTCTCAAGATACTTTGCCAGTGGTCATTTATAGAAGTTTGCAGCAGGTTCAACTTTATCTACGTCCCCAAAATTCACAGCGATGCCAAATTGTCATTTTATAACTAAACAGCAATCAACATCTGCATCCTCCTGCATCCTGATTTTTACAAGCTTTTTCTTTGAAGATTTTTTTGTGTAACCCAGTTAAAAGTTTTTCACGCAGTATTTTGATTTATATAAATAGATATAGTATATTACTAACAGTATTTTGTATGTTAAATCTTCTTTTCCGTGCCTTAAGATCTTATCTGAGTTCACACTCAAGAACCCATTACTTTCCACACTCAAGACTCAAGAACTGATCCCTGAGCATCCTGCTCAACCCACGCCCCCCGTCTTTGCAGTACTGGGCCTAGACGCACTCGACACAGTGATCTGCCTCGTTAATTCCTCCTCATAATCGGTACTGACCACGATTTACTCCCATGCATTCAGTTGTTCATAGGAGCGCATCCATTTGTTTTGCTCTTGCAATCTTCTCGTTTGATTTGGTACACTCTTCACTTTGGACTCTCTGTTCAAGCAAAAAGAGTTATGGAAGCTCGAGCTCACATTCGATGCCAGGTCCTCTTCCAGTTTTGATTCCCTCACTTTGGTATTATCTCTAATCACCCTGCCAACCCTTTTCCAGCCCGTGTTTATCCTGTTACGGTGGGAGAGTAGAGGTCTCTTGAAGGCTTCCGGCCCTATCTCGGCCAGGAATCGACTGTACTCCTTCTGGTGTTTCTTCATGTGATTCTTCGTCGAAGTACATTGCTCGAAACCATCATAAGAATCGTATGAGACTCCTAACGTGCCTCATTTCCATGGGTACAGCGAATACTTTACACGCTATCTCAATCGATCCAAGCCTCCTGCTAGAGTCAATGGCATGTATCATCCCCACTGTTGGTGCCTTTGATTCCCGAAATTTCGTTACTTTCTCCTCAACCCATAGTAGCGCCAACATCGAGCTCACCAAGAAGAGAGTGGCCTTCTGTTGATGATCAGGCAGTCCAATCGACCGAACTTCCTCGACATCCCATATCAAGCATAGGTTTGACTGCTTTCCCCGTGTGTCAAGTTCTCCATTTTGACTGTATTCTCCGTGTGTCAAGTTGATGTTTTGGAGGTTACGTTCTCCAGAAGCCTCGAGGAATTGTTCAAACTTCTTCGTTTTTGCAGGTGTCACATCATTCTCGTCCATAGCTTGTGTGTTGCTTGTCGCCTTCCCGATCGCGCTTTGCCTCTCGAAGTTACTAGTATTCTTTGTTTCCAAACTCAAGAGTTCATCTCCCCAGATCTCACAAAAGTCCTCTCTTCGATCCCCTGGCACAACTCCCGGCATATTCCGAAACAACCGATGCGAGTGATGTGACATTCGCGCCAGTGCACGCAATTGGGCACCGAGAAAGCCTTATCAATCAGCACCCTCTGACTAGATGCTTCCACCATCGCCATGTGTAGCGGATAATGACTTCCGCACAAGTTTGCCATGACTGATCTCACCAGAGACTTCGCATTCATTGGCAAGCTGTAGGCCTCGCTCACGGGAAAACCCCTCTGCCTCAAGATTGACCTTTCATACCCTGATATGCTTCTGGATCATTTGTAGCGCTCCAGGCCAGGACTCCTTACTCAGCACTCTGATAAACAATCAGGGTGACGCTCGAGACTCTCTTCTCCAATGCCTTACTTCCCGCCGCGCTTTGATAGCATGCCTGGATGTTAGTTTCAGGTATCACCGACATGATTCATCTCAAGAAACAGGTGGCATCTTTCCTCCTCGCAAGACTCAACCCTGAATTGTCTCGAGCAACATGCTGCGTCAGCATTCGATACGCGTGCAGACCTTAATCGCCCAGTTTTGATTATAGTATGAAGTTAGTGCTTCCAACACCACTCCTGCCAAGCTCCACGTAAACAGCAACTGCCCGCCGTCCTAACAAAAGGATTCGCTAACAAAGGTTGTGCCGATGAGGGTGCCCTCATTTCGTTTTCAAAATACTCCAACAGCAATTTCTCCCAAGTTCGTCCCAGCTGGCGCCTCAACTCTAGTTTATTCACTTCTACCCTCTGTTGGGTAGCTCAACTTTGACGTTTTTTGGACAACCCTCGATCAAGTGTCTTCAGGCGGCCCTCCAGTTCCTTCGCAGTATCCAGGGCTATCCACCAGGGGCGAGCAGTATTTCTTGGCGATCCTCTTTCGAGGGGTCACTTGCTACTTGTTTTTCAATGCCCTGGTGTCGACTCGAGATTCATTCTTTGCCCATGTGCACTTCCCACATTTATCCACTGGTAGAGCCTCTGTTCGCA